ACTGGTAGATAACATTTCCGCTCTCGTCTGTTGGTAGTTCCTTGCTAGCAGCTTCCTCTCGTGGCACAGTGACGTAATGTCCACTGCTGTCAGTAGGTAGCGGTTGTCCATCCTTGTCCAAAGGAACTCCACTGCGGTCAGTTGGTATCGGTCTACCGTCTTCTCCGAGTGGATGGCCAGAATCATCTGTTGGGAGAGGAGATCCGTCAGGTCCAAGAACCGGATGGATGGGTCGTTTGTGCTCATCAGTGGGTAACGATGCTCCATCAAGGCCACAACGAAGGGTAGGAATGAATTCCCTGTTTCATCTGTGGGAAGAACTTGTCGTCTGTCGACAAGGAGGACGGCCTTCCTCATCTTTCTCGATTATCGTTCCCTCATCTGTGACGAAGTTTCCAGAAGCATCGGTAGGCAGAGGTGACCCGTCGGGTTTTGTCACTGGGTAGATAACATTTCCGCTCTTGTCTGTTGGGTAGTGTCTTGCTAAGCCCAGCTTCCTCTCTGTGGCACAGTGACGTAATGATCAACCTGCTGTCAGTAGGTATGCGGTTTGTCCATGCCTTTGTCCAACAGGAACTCGCACTGCGGTTCATTGTATCGGTCTACCTCGTTTCTCCCGAGTGGATGGCCAGAATCATCTGTTGGAGAGGAGATCCGTCAGGTCCAAGAACCGGATGGATGGGTCGTTTGTGCTCATCAGTGGGTAACGGACTCCCATCAGGTCCCACCACCGGATAGATGAAGTTCCCTGTCTCATCTGTGGGAAGAACTTGTCCGTCTGGTCCGAGAGGACGGCCTTCCTTCATCCTTTTCTATGATCGTTCCCTCATCTGTGACGAAGTTTCCAGAAGCATCGGTAGGCAGAGGTGACCCGTCGGGTTTTGTCACTGGGTAGATAACATTTCCGCTCTCGTCTGTTGGTAGTTCCTTGCTAGCAGCTTCCTCTCGTGGCACAGTGACGTAATGTCCACTGCTGTCAGTAGGTAGCGGTTGTCCATCCTTGTCCAAAGGAACTCCACTGCGGTCAGTTGGTATCGGTCTACCGTCTTCTCCGAGTGGATGGCCAGAATCATCTGTTGGGAGAGGAGATCCGTCAGGTCCAAGAACCGGATGGATGGGTCGTTTGTGCTCATCAGTGGGTAACGGACTTCCATCAGGCCCAACCACAGGGTAGATGAAGTTTCCTGTCTCATCTCTGTGGAAGAACTTGTCCGTTAACTGTCGCGAGAGACGCTTCCTTCATTCTTTCTCGTATAACGTTCCCTCATCTGTGACGAAGTTTCCAGAAGCATCCGTAGGCAGAGGTGACCCGTCGGGTTTTTGTCACTGGGTAGATAACATTTCCGCTCTCGTCTGTTGGTAGTTCCTTGCTAGCAGCTTCCTCTCGTGGCACAGTGACGTAATGTCCACTGCTGTCAGTAGGTAGCGGTTGTCCATCCTTGTCCAAAGGAACTCCACTGCGGTCAGTTGGTATCGGTCTACCGTCTTCTCCGAGTGGATGGCCAGAATCATCTGTTGGGAGAGGAGATCCGTCAGGTCCAAGAACCGGATGGATGGGTCGTTTGTGCTCATCAGTGGGTAACGGACTTCCATCAGGCCCAACCACAGGGTAGATGAAGTTTCCTGTCTCGTCTGTGGGAAGAACTTGCCCGTCTGAGTACGCGAGGGAGCGGCCTTCCCATCTATTCATGTCGATTATCGTGCCTTCGTCGGTTACGAAGTTTGCCCAAAAGCACGGTAGGACCAGAGTGACCCGTCGGGTTTTGTCACTGTAGATAAGCATTATCCGCCTCCTACTGTGTATCTTAGCTAGCAGCTTCCTCTCGCGGACAGCAGTGAGTAAAGGGGGGGGGGGGGGGGGTTTGGGGGGGGGGGGGGGGGTGTCCACATGCTGTCAGTAGGTAAGCGGTTTGTCCATCCTTGTGCCAAAGGAACTTCACTGGCCGGACCACCCCCCCGCCCCCCCCCCCCCCCCCCACCCCCGCAGTTGGTAATCGGTCTACTCGTCTTACTACCGATGGATGGCCAGAATAAAATCTGTTGGGAGAAGGAGATCCGCTCAGGTGCCGAAGAACCGGATGGATGGGTCGTTTGTGCTCATCAGTGTGGTAACGGACTCCCATCAGGTCCCACCACCGGATAGATGAAGTTCCCTGTCTCATCTGTGGGAAGAACTGTCCGTCATGGTCCAGGGAACGCCTCCCATCTTTCCTCGATATCGTGTCCTCATCCTGTGACGAAAGTTCGCAGAAGCATCGGTAGGCAGAGGTGACCCGTCGGGTTTTGTCACTGGGTAGATAACATTTCCGCTCTCGTCTGTTGGTAGTTCCTTGCTAGCAGCTTCCTCTCGTGGCACAGTGACGTAATGTCCACTGCTGTCAGTAGGTAGCGGTTGTCCATCCTTGTCCAAAGGAACTCCACTGCGGTCAGTTGGTATCGGTCTACCGTCTTCTCCGAGTGGATGGCCAGAATCATCTGTTGGGAGAGGAGATCCGTCAGGTCCAAGAACCGGATGGATGGGTCGTTTGTGCTCATCAGTGGGTAACGGACTTCCATCAGGCCCAACCACAGGGTAGATGAAGTTTCCTGTCTCGTCTGTGGGAAGAACTTGTCCGTCTGGTCCAAGGGGACGGCCTTCCTCATCTTTCTCGATTATCGTTCCCTCATCTGTGACGAAGTTTCCAGAAGCATCGGTAGGCAGAGGTGACCCGTCGGGTTTTGTCACTGGGTAGATAACATTTCCGCTCTCGTCTGTTGGTAGTTCCTTGCTAGCAGCTTCCTCTCGTGGCACAGTGACGTAATGTCCACTGCTGTCAGTAGGTAGCGGTTGTCCATCCTTGTCCAAAGGAACTCCACTGCGGTCAGTTGGTATCGGTCTACCGTCTTCTCCGAGTGGATGGCCAGAATCATCTGTTGGGAGAGGAGATCCGTCAGGTCCAAGAACCGGATGGATGGGTCGTTTGTGCTCATCAGTGGGTAACGGACTTCCATCAGGCCCAACCACAGGGTAGATGAAGTTTCCTGTCTCGTCTGTGGGAAGAACTTGTCCGTCTGGTCCAAGGGGACGGCCTTCCTCATCTTTCTCGATTATCGTTCCCTCATCTGTGACGAAGTTTCCAGAAGCATCGGTAGGCAGAGGTGACCCGTCGGGTTTTGTCACTGGGTAGATAACATTTCCGCTCTCGTCTGTTGGTAGTTCCTTGCTAGCAGCTTCCTCTCGTGGCACAGTGACGTAATGTCCACTGCTGTCAGTAGGTAGCGGTTGTCCATCCTTGTCCAAAGGAACTCCACTGCGGTCAGTTGGTA